TTTCTATTTTGCATATTGTTGCTAGTAAAAGTATATAGATTTAGGTTGGAATACAAAAATCAATTTGATAAATTTTTCACAAAATAAATTTACCTGCACGTTTTCTAATAGCAAAAGTAAATCGACTATCAAATAATTGGAAATAGTAGCCATTTTATAAACTATTTTCATAAAAACTGCAAATTGTATTTTCAAATCAAATCTGCTAATAATATTTAAACATGATCAGATGTTTCGTAAAATTGTTCAATAATAAATTAATTTTAAAACAATACTAAAATTTCAACTATTTTTATATAAAAATTGAATAAAAATTTTAAGGGAAAATTAAATTTCGTTCGTCATGAAGCATAATCGTCAAAACATGAAACATTTTAAATAATTATTGTTCGTAAATGATAAGTTCCATCAATATTTACATTCAATAATCATATTTAATCATATTTACATTCATATAATTAGTTTAATAATTACTACAGGTATACACAAATAATTTACGTGCATTTGATAAAATTTGATTGCATAAAATATGATGTATTGCAATCGGACTGTAAATGTTGAATTTAATATAAATATATGAAGCCGGTTCTTTCGTTTGATTTGCTTTATAAATTTGGACAGATTAGTATCTACAGATAAGGAATTATGTAACATTTCAAATATTATGCATTTAAATTAAATTGATTTAAATTGAACCAAATTGAATTAAAATTTAAACATTTCAAATTAATCAGCATGAGTAATGCAACTTTCAAATTAAAATTAGCAGTCATAAGAAATGAAAATCCATAATTGAAATCGATTAAAAACCTTATTTATGCAAATGGCAAAATTATTGAAATTAATAAAAAATTACAAAAACTGCGAGATCCTAATTGAAATGAATTACGAATCAAATTAAAATGAATAAATTGCAAATGGCGGACCGAATTTCAGACCAAAAACTAAAGTCATTAAAATTAATTAAAAACCATACTAAAAATTACAAAAATTTCATGATCTTTCAACCTAATAAATATAAATGAACATTGCAGAATGATTAAAATTAATTAAAGAAACTAAAAAATTGTAAAAATTGTAATAACCTATCAATGAAAGTAAAAAACAAAAAATGCAAGATTCCATTGAAACTAATTATAAACCTTAATAAAAATATGAAAGTTGCAGGATTATTGGAATTAGTTAAAAATCAAAAATTACAAGATATTAATTGAATTGAGAATTCAAAGTCAAATTATATGGAATTTGAAAATTCCAAATTGTAGAAATCAAATAAAAATCATTAAAATCTATGAAAACCGCAAAATCATTAAAATTAATTTATCGAAAATTATGAAAATTGCAAAATCCTAATTGAAATCAAGTAAAAACCATACAAGAAATTATGAAAATCGCAAGATCGAAATGTAAATAAAAATCATGTAACAATTGCTAATCAATGATAAACTAAAAATTTCATGAAATTTTTTTAGACCCATAAAACCATGATTTAATTATTTAAAATCTATTTAAAAACTTACAATTGCAGAACCATTGAAACTAAATAAAACCAAATGGAAATTGCAAAATTTTAATCGCAATTTATCAAAATTCGAATTTATTCAAAATATAAGATTATGACAATTGCAAAACCATAAATAAAATTTAAAACCATAAAAATGTACGATGCTATTTAAAACTAATGAAAATTACAAGATCTTTGAAATTAATTACATGAAAATTTCAGAAAAATTGAAATTAGTTAAATAAGTTACAATTACAGTCAATCGGACTGTAAATGTTGAATTTAATATAAATATATGAAGCCGGTTCTTTCGTTTGATTTGCTTTATAAATTTGGACAGATTAGTATCTACAGATAAGGAATTATGTAACATTTCAAATATTATGCATTTAAAGTGAAGTTTCGTAAAACATAAATTGTTGCAAATGCGTATTTAGGTCTTTAACAGGCAAAAGTAGAAAAATATCGCATTAAAATAATAAAATAACAATTGAGTTAATTATAAATTGCTGAAATATACGCAGATATTTTCTACACAACATGACGAACTTGATTTTTGTAAAATAATCATTTAGTCAAGCTATTGCTTTGGTAATTAGCAATTAATATTGGATTTGATTATATTAATAATTGCAACTGGTTATATCAATACTATTTAGTATACTTTAATAGTTTTAAATTAAAATTCACAATACAAAAAAACGTAGTCCTTTCGATTAATTTGTTGAAATTCAAATGTATTTGCAGAACAAATAATCTGTAGATCAAATATCAAAAAACTGAAAACCCTATATCATTTGATGAAGTTCTGATGAATCAATTATATTACATAAAGGTTTTGATTACCTTATAACTGTTTGAAGATTAAGAATAAGAATATTCGATTATAGTGGCGTAACTATCGTGGTACTCAATTTTTAATTTATCTAATTTTGCTTAATAAACGTTAATAGTCTTTTACACGCTGTTTTACCACTGGCTAAAACAATTTTTAATGGATTTTATCACAATTAGCAAACCAACTTCGACTAATTTATATTTTATGGCTTTAAATTATGAAATTATACAAAAGGTAGAAAAGTAAAGTATTGATTTAGAGGTATAATTATAATTTAGTTGTAATTATATAAAAATAACAAAAAATACATAATTTAATTTTTCTTGAAAATCGAACAATAAATATTGGTGAATATTTACAACGTTAGAATAAATGGAAATTAAAATTAAACAGCGTATTTTTAATAAAATTGAAAAAAGTACCACTTTCTTAAATTTAATTATTACATAACCTTCCATTAACAATTTATTTTTTTACTGTAATTAATTTTATTTATTAAGTAGTGACGTTTATGAAAATTTATGATTTAAACGATCTTTATGATCTTTAGGGGCCCCCTTAGGTCGGGGGCCCGTGGCATTTTGCCACCCACGTCACCCTATAGTTACGCCACTGAATACAATACAAATTTATGCAATCTTATCTCATCGATTGCGAAATTACTTGTATAAATTTGATACTTTACGAAACAAAAAATTTAAGTATCTACTGTAAGTTTCTAATTCTAATTTCATAATTTTACTAGCAATTACACGCAAAATGAAAATGTTGCAATTTATTGAACACAAGTCTTTCGTGAACAAAATTGTCTATAAATTTGACAAAGATAAAAGAATAATGAGCATTTAGCGCAGTTTCAAGAATACCAAGCTGTGGTATTAGTTTTGATTGATCGATTTTAATAAAAAAACGATCTTTTGACTGATTTTTTGCTACAAAAAAATCAACATTTTAATAAATTATGATGAGATTTCAACGCTATCGACTTAGTGCTTAATACAGTTTCAATTATTGTTATATAATTGAATGTGAGAATCTTATTTGAAGAGGAGATTCAACATCTACCTATAATGATATCGTGCGAGTTCAATTGCGAAAATTTCATTTTGGTTTTCTACATAGTAGAAAGGAATCATTCTAATGCACAAATAAGTAATGCATTATAATATGAAATACTGATGAATTTATTCAACAAAAGAAGAATAGACTACTTCGTCTATAATGCTACAAAACCAAGCGCAAACTCTTTGCACTTCAACAACCTGAAGAATGATAGTGTAATTGTTTCGCAAGTCAAAACTGTTAGCAATAAACCTAACAAGTAACTCAGTCTACTTTAAACTAATATTTGAACGTTTAAATGGATGTATGATTTCAAATATTTCAGAAAATTCTAGTGATATATAAATCAAGATGTACTCGGACGCCGCAGTACCGCAGTACTCATTTCGCATAAGAAAAGCCAAAATGATCAAAACTGAAAATAAACCTACAAGTTTTTAGGGACGCGGTATCGAATAGAAAGTATCGATACTTTTTTCGCTAAGTTTGCCTCAAATTAGCCCAGTCAAAATAGACATGCTAAATCGAAAATTCGCACGACGATGAAAATTGGTATAGGCGTTTTATAAGCTTTAGAAAATTAAATGCAAAAAATTCTTGTCGATCCGATCTTTTGATTTTTTAAGATTAGAGAAGATTAATGCATGTGGGATGTATTATGGCAGACGTATCTAACATTTTTTTTTGATAATTGTCATAGAGAAAAATGAGGAAAATGTCATTTTAACCTTTGACCTTGAATAAAAGAAAAGCGCAGAGGTCAAATCGGAAGCGACTTAAAATTTCATATAGCTTATTTTCCATTATATGCAAATTATTCCGAAGTTGAAGTTTTTGTGTCTATGTTGACTGGGTTGAAATCGTATGTGAGTCACATACAGAAAGTATGTACACCTAAGTCTGTTTTTACACGGAAATTGGTTCCAGAAGAAGCCGTGTAAAAAAAAAACGTGTAAAAAAAGACATGGATCTTATACAAAAATGGATGATTTGTTCCTAATCTCTAAAACCTATTAAAATTAGTGAAAAACAAGAATTTTCAGGGTATTCCCCTAAATGAGTGCTATTCACATTTGCTTTCACCAGTAAAAATTGTTTGTACGCGCTAAAGGGGAATTCACTTAAATCTTTAAGCTAGTGTTCGCAAACTATCGATACTATCGATGGTTTCAGACTTTTTTCTTTCATAAATACTTTTTTGTGATATGAACATACTTCGCAAAAATTAAATTTGACAAAGAAAATTTAAGTACATAAAATTTCAAATCGTGCTAAATGGAATAAAATCGTGTAAAAAAATTAAAAATATTCAATTTTCAAACCGTGTTATATCAAAACCGTGTACAAAAAGACCGTGTAAAAACAGACTTAGGTGTATACTTCCTATTTAATACCGTGTCCCTACAAGTTCTACGTTTTACGGATAATTCGGTACCCACGGAATCAACTTGAAAACCTTGAAATTAATACAAGAAATATGTACCACTGACCTTTTCTCCTGTAATCTGTGCTGCATCAGGTTTAATTCCTCATGTAAATTTGACTGCATCAATTTTAATTTCTTTTGTGAAATGGACTGCAACATCTTGTCTGGACTACCAAATTGTTGTAACTGAAATAAAAATCATTATAATTAGATACGCGTGAAATGATTTTATTGTTGAATAAAAATATTGTATTTCGATATAAATTTAAAGTTACCTCGAGAAAAAATCGCAGCTTCGACGCACGAATCACTACACTTACTAAATATACTGAACTACATACCGAAATTTAAGAAATTGAAAATTTAAAAAAAAGAACGATAAAGAACACAATTACTAACACTTGAAATTAATATGAAATTATCACGGTATTTCCAAACAAAGGCAACGATTGCAACAAAACTAAACTGAATTCAATTCGAAACAATGCCGAACTTACGCAATAAGCCGGTCAACTACATCCGCTTCACCGAGAGCCTTCTGTCCGCCGCCGCAGCCAAAATTAAATTAAAACTCTCCCGCAGGCCAAGCGCTGCTCGAGAAGTAATAGGCGTGGCTTATCCCCACTCGAGGCGTGGCCTATCACCACTCAAGACGTGGCCTATAGCTTTGTCCTTGTTCTGCTCAGTAATCCTATGCGTGGAATAGAGTGCGAAATAGTACTCGCACATGATATAGTTGTCCTTCTCTATCCGCAGAATTGCATAATGGCCGACCGGCTGCCGAAAGAACCTCTGCCATTCCCATTATTATGTGGTCTGGGCTTCTGTCAGTCGGCAAACTGCAACATAAAATTATATTTTAATTATTTTTATGTTTCAGTCGACATATAAAGGAACTCTTTGTCAAATTTGCCAAAGTCAAAAAATATATTTATCTATAGTAATTGATAAAATTTTAATATGTTATTACACATTAGTCCACAAAAATGCATTTTTTGACTTGATAGAACTGATATATAAAAGATTAATCTTATTATCTTTTATATAATTTGTTATATAAAAGATTGTTTAGACTTTGCAATGCAATTTAACCAGTACCTACTTATTATACACCTAATTAAATTTCACAAAATTTCATTATTTGATTTTGTTTGTAAAGTCATTAAACATTATATACCGATTTGCAGACAATTTTATTAGGTTTTTAACAATATGTAATGATATATTTAAATTACTTGTAATAAAATGTTGATATAAAAAACCGCACTCAATAAAACTACAAACTAAAAATGCAATAAAATGAAACGCTACTTTGATTTGATACAAATATTTTGTTTGTTTTTAAAAATAATTCATTATAAAATTGATTTTATGGGATATTATAAAAACACATCGAGCTGATTATTTTTTGGTTAAGAACGCTTTGTGATTAAGTAATTAGTAATATTTAAATTATTTGTATTCTTTGTTTGTATTGAATAAAATGTTTCTAATTACCATCAATTGCCATACATAAACTAATTCATATATACATACATACATACATATATATATATATATATATATATATATATATATATATATATATATATTAAATATTAATTGTCATTAGGCTAATCCTAGAGTTGTTCATAAACAAAACTGATATTAGTTTAGTTATATTATAGTATTGTGATAAAAATAATAATTGAATTGACCTAAATTGTAAATATTAAATTTGAATAAAGTATCTATCTATCTATATATGTAGCATGATAAATATTTAGATAAAAACACCTCAGTGCGGCCCATGTTAAGTACACAGTGTCGTGGCAAGTAACATTATGTGTGCACTGAGGGATGTTAGCAGAGCCGAATTTAGAAATTTGGCGCCCTTGGGCACTGACAAAAATGCCGCCCCATCCCTGAAATTTTAAAATTAAAATAACTTTTGATTGAAGAAAATTTATTACGCATTACATACTACAGAGAATGGTGATTGGCATCGTGCCTTAATACAAATTGCTGGTACTTCTCGTACCGAAAAATAAAATTAAAATTTTTTGAAAACTTTGTACTTTTTTCAAGTGATTGTACGGCGTAACTGTTTTAGTGGCAAAATATCGAAGTATGTATATAAAAAGTATGTGAGTCTAACGGATAAAATTTCTACGGAACCCAAAACAAAACAAAAATGTAAACAAAAATTATACTTATTATTAAAATCCCTATAGAAATGATAATTTGATGTGTATATATCTAATGATCACTTTTGACCGCCAAATGTTTCTTTCACCGAAACCTGAATCTGCAACTCACAAATTTAAGCAGTTCTTCATTTTGTCAATACATGTAATTTTTTTTTGAATTATTGAAACTGGACGCTCCGTTTCTCAAAGATTGAATTATCATTTTAGCCCGTATCTTCGAAACAGTTGGACCTGCTTTGGCCAATAACTTATCAGCACGTCCCATTATCAATAGTAATCGAATGGTTTTTGAATCATTCAAATCGGTTGATCCGTGTTCTCGAGATCGACTTGAATATTTAAAAAAATATTAGATTTGTATTGATGAGGAGACGTGCTGATTAGTTATTGGCGCAGGCAGGACCATCCGTTTAAAAAAATTGTAATTGAGTTTCGATATTTCGTCTCTGAAACTGCTACTTAGCGCGATTGCTTTGAAAAAAGTTCATAATTTTCAAAAAATTACAAAATAATGATGTTTTTTAAACGCCTTTTTTCCATTTTTCAAAAAAATTTAAAGCTGTTTATAAAATGTAATTTGCAAAGGCAAGGAGGCAAGGCAAAATAATGCATTTTAATAATCGGTTATTTGAACCTAAATTTTGAATTGCAATCACATTATGTTTTGTTAATTATATTTCTTGAAATAAAAAATGTGATTAAAGAAAATTACTTACTTATATTGTATAAAAAATTTTTCTCACTTTCCAAATTTTGCCGCCCCCAAAAATTTGCTGCCCTGGGCAGTAGCCCCGACTGCCCCTACTGTAAATCCAGCACTGGATGTTAGACTGCGTGCGCGAGAACAGGCAAGCACGTCGGTTATGAGAGAAAGAAGGACATGACCACCGAAGACAAAGACGAGATGAGGAAAAAGCACAAACCATCGCAAACGGGGAAGATGGAACGAGATGGGAGAATGTCCACCATCTACTACCAAACGAAAGAGGGTGGGGCATCGATGGACCTCTAGGGTATAAAACCAAAGCCCCGTTCCAAGATCTTCCTCTTACGGTATCAGCTCTCAGCGTGGCAATAAGTTAGTATACACAGTAGGAACGCTTATTAAAAGCAACTTGATATTTGTTTTATAAAATAATTCAGACAGCTTTGAAAGGTGATTTTGTATTTTATTAATATGTACAAATATTTACAAGTTATAATAAAGGTTCTGACAAGAGGCAAGATTATTAAAGTCTTCTATCGCTGGAAGGATCGGAGTCAAGCATCTAGATTGAGGCAGTCACCAACGTTTGGGTGTTTATTTCTGTATATCTCAACGTACTATAATCACTCGAAAAGAGTCTGAACCGACGTTCCGAGTGATTATAGTACGTTGAGATATACAGAAATAACCACCCAAACGTTGGTGACTGGCTCAATCTAGATAATTGACTCCGATTCTTCCAGTGATAGAAGACTTTAATAATCTTGCCTCCGAACCTTTATTATAACTTGTAAATATTTGTACATATTAATAAAATACAAGATCACTATTCAAAGCTGTCTGGATCATTTTATAAAACAAATATCCTTTATATATATATATTTATATATATATATATATATATATATATAATTGATTTAGCCGATTAGTTTCACATGCAAAGAAAGTTCATGCAACTTGCCTTGAGGCAATATGACTAGTTTTTTATGTCAATGTTGTTTACACTTATACAATACTTGATTTAGTTAAATATTTTATTATCAAAGTGGTGTTATTTGTATCTAATACATATCTTGTGAAATAATAGATGTATTTCTCATTGATTCAGCTGATTATTTTCAAAGAAAGTTAATGCAACTTTCCTTAAGGCAATATGACAACTAGTTATTTTTTTAAGTCAGAACATTTACACTTATACAATACTTGAATTAGTTACAAATTATATTCAAAGTGTTTCTACTTTGTATGAAAACTAATGTAATTTTCTCCAAAGTATACATATTAATTATCAAATAACCTTAGCTTACACCTAAAATATGTCCCTTCATATGTTAATCCTTAATAAGTAAATCGTAAGAATAACAGAAAGGCAATAACTTAAAATGACTTAAATAAAATAACTTTATTATCCGATGCTTGTAATACAATGTGCACAAAATAATTGTTTCTTTTTTGTAAAAGACTGCTCCTTGTACGATAACTATTCCTTCGTGTTCATGCTCATTTGTATTTGAGACTTGATCAACATATGCAAATATTATTTTCAGCTAGTAAGTACTTGCATTCTATCAATAGTTCCTTCTGAAAAATTAAACATAGTTTTAGTTATGTAAATATCACATAAAAAAAATCAGCTTTATCGATAGTTCACAAAATTTTTTCTATTCATAAGCATAATAAATGTGTGCGAATAAGCCACACAGACACAATAAGGAGCTACCATGCCTGTTGTAATGTTTCAAATATTTCTAATAGATCTTCTTCGTGCAATAGGTACTTTCAGCATTTTCATTATCGAAATTTATTTTTCAACGGTCACATTAAGAAATATTCTAAAATTTAAGTAATATTTTATTGTACCTTGATTCATATGCTTCATTTTGTCCACAATTTGCTTTATAAATTCGCTGCGTCATACTTCCACGTTATAATCGAACAGCTTCTTGTCAGAGGTGGTAATCCTAATAAACAATAACATATGTTATAATAACATGTAATAAACAAATAATTTTCGTACAATATATTTATTGTATGAATGTTTCATTTATAAACAGCAAAACACAGCACTTCCAACAAGACGCGTCATGAATAAAACTGCGTCATTCATAAGTCGCGTTACCATACCAACCCACATGTACACGAACGCCATCCACATTTCGACAGATGTTACTATTTTTAGCTAGTATTTCAACCACATTAAATAATTGTGAACATTGTAAAGTCGCGTTACCAAACCACATGTACACTAACGCCATCCACATTTCAATAGATGTTACTATTTTTAACTAGTATTTCAACCGCATTGAAAAACAGTGGAACAATCATTTCAGCTAATTGAACAATTATCTTTTTAAATGCTTTGCTTTTTGATTAGGCTTTTTTCCTTTTTTATTTATAAGTAAGTTGCAAATAATTATATTCTATAAAATACCTTTTACAGAAACTGGGGAAGCTGCAACGGCTACACTGGATACCCAGAAGGCATTGTTTAAATCGAGATATTGCATCAACAGCAATCTTTAATCAGGCTAAGACTCATATTGCAACTGCATTGACATCATCCAATCTTTAATCAGGCTAAGACTCATATTGCAACTGCATCGACATCACCCTCTCCTGAAATATAAAATATATTTTATTATAAGCATTT